TCTACTCTACTCTACTCTACTCTACTCTACTCTACTCTACTCTACTCTACTCTTTACAAGGTCCCTTCCAACTCTGTTATTCTGTATCCTTTTCCTGAGATAAAGGAAAAAGAAAGAATTCAGAGTTTTTTTTCTGTGACCTCCATTTCTGTTTGTTTTCTTAACTGGGCAGCCTGTGGGCATCAAATGTCACAAATCATCTTGGAAAATATTTTCAGTTCCTTTACTTGAAGAGATTTACAATGTTAAAAACAGACAAAATGATATGGTAGATTGCTGAGCCCTATTTAAGCATTATGCAGGTACTGTTCCAGTATGTCTTCTGAATGGGCCACTTTGTAGTATTCTAGAATTAGTAATGTAATTTTTTTCATGGTACTTGTAAAAAAATACTATCTAAACAGTACAGAACAATTAACAGAATTATTATCTAAACAGTTAATTTCTTAGACTATAAATTTTAATATAATTGTATTATAATAATTATAATATAATTGTATTATTTATGCTATTTGGAAAGTAACTGGCTAAGATATCTTCATTTTTTTTTCTCCAATAATTTTGTCACTTGTCTCTAGATCCTGATTTGTCCTTCACAACTTTGTCTGTAACCTGGAGGATTGAGTACCAAAATCAAAATCCATTTATACCTACTGCCTTCCAGATGTTTGGGTTCACAACTTTTGGAAATCCTTATCATTGGCCTTACTGGCTGGGGCTGCTGGGATCTGATCTTCATTAGACATGTGGATTTTTGTAGAAGGTATGTTTATGGTGCTCAAAAGAAGAAGGAAAAACAAGGGGATAATGTCAATATTTCCATCTATAAAAGACTCTTCCTATTCCACCATTGAATATCACTGGGATCTTCCCTGTATTATTCATGTGTAGAAATTTTGGGGGAAATGATGTAAAAAATAAATTTGGAAAGCCAAGAGGAGGTTATTTGAACTATTTACTGTTTGGTATTTACATGAAAGGAAGATGATTCGGAATGTAAGATAGTTTTTCTCTAGAAAAAGGAATATTATAGGGAAAGAAACTTTTCAGTCACCATTGTCATATTTTCTAGAAATCTAAAATGAACCTATCCCCCTTTTTCATAATTAGATTTCTCCCAATTGATCTGATTTAGCAAAGAAAGCGTAAGAAAAAAAGCAGAACATCAGATTGTATAGTAAATATGGGTCCCTGAATGTGAGTTGACTTTGAGTTGACTGCTCACCACTGGAGATGCATTTGTTCTTAAAGTGTTGTGCATGATCTTGATGACAATCTTATCTCCCCTCTTCTAAATTTCAGTTCATTGCTATGGACAGTGCTATAACCTTGTGGCAGTTCCTTTTGCAACTTCTTCAGGAATCTCGGAATAAGGACATTATCTGCTGGACCTCAAATGATGGAGAATTCAAACTTTTGCAAGCAGAAGAGGTGGCCCGCCTTTGGGGAATCCGTAAAAACAAGCCCAATATGAACTATGACAAACTTAGTCGTGCACTCAGATATTATTATGTAAAGGTAACTTGGCCTTTTGTTTGCCTCCAATGTTTAACTTTCATTGCATTCTAGTGGCTCTAGAATGAGTGGTTTTTCTCTCTCTGATTTCAGTGGCAGGAATGTTGGGAATGCCACAAGAATTGATTGAGTAAACATAAAGTTGCTTGCCTATCTGAGTAAATGTATTTGTTTCAAGAATTAGCAACAGTCACTACTACTATTTTAACCAACCACTTGTTTTGAAATAGGTTTGTGTAACTCAAGAGTTCTATCATTTGACATTTTGATTTATTCATTTATATCCTCAGATCTTAAAAATATGTTGTTATTTTATTAATAAATAAAAGTAAGTAATATTTTCTGCAGAATTTCCATGGAATATGTGAATGTATACAGTATGATCCCCCCGCCCCATGTTTTCTGGAAAGTTCTCAGTATGTTCTGAAAAGCTTCAGCTGATATGTTTATTAGAATTTAATTTCGAATAACATTGATTTGATTATTAAATACTGCTTATAATTTTATGATATATGGATTGTAGCACTCATCACATTGCTATAGAACAGGAATGTCAAACTCCTGGCCAATGGGCCGGATGCATCACGTGCTGGCCCCGCCCCCACTGTCATGACAACATGAGTTTGACACCCCTGCTATAGAACAATGTGAAAGCCATTGAATACTTTCTGGAGACTTTGAAATGGCTGTAGTTTACTGCTTTGCTGAATATTTCAGATGTTCATTTTCCTTCAGCTACATCAAAATGTTATGTACAGTCAGCTTTTAATACTTAATCTTGATGCTGAAATATATTGATTTTGATGGAAGTATTATGTCTGAGATCAAAATTGGCTTATATTATATTGCCTTCTGAATCAAAGAAATAAAATATGCAGTTGATGTGACTGAAATATGTTCAAACAGTTGACTGAAACCATGTTCATTATGAGCAAACTTTTTTTGAAGCTCTACAATATTTTTAAATTCATTTTTCATTTTTTATTATTGATGGATTTGTTGGTATGTGGCTGGCCTCACATGAAACAGGAAAAACATTCTTATTTTCTGCAGTGCTATATGCTTCTAGACAAATGGATGTTGGGTATGTGTCCTGATTAGTACATGGATATATATCCCCAAATCCCTTTCAAAACAAAATGAATAAAGATATAAGTTTGAATCTAGAACTACATAGGGTTCTTTTAATTAGCCCATTGAGATAAATAGGACTGAATCAGGCACACTTCTCATCTTTAGTTAATCATATTGCCTCCTTGACTAGCTGAACTATGTCTGGGACAAGTATTCAAAGGGGGTGCCTAATCTCTGCTTTATTTTTGATGTTTTCACAGAACATCATCAAAAAAGTTAATGGTCAAAAGTTTGTTTACAAGTTTGTATCTTACCCAGAGATTTTGAATATGGATCCGCTGATTGTTGGCAAGATTGAGGGTGAAGCTGAGGCACAAGCTGGCTTTGTTGATACTAGCAACTCTACAAAGGAAATTGAAACTTATGGGAAAGAGAAACATCAGGCCAGTGTGAAATCTTCCAGTCGCAATGACTACATCCACTCGGGCCTATATTCTTCATTTACTTTGAATTCTCTTAATTCCTCCTCTTGTACAAAACTGTTTAAGCCAATTAAGATGGAGAATTCAGCTGAGAAGCTGACAGAAAAGAGAACTACTCAGGATTCAACACCTTCAGTCATAAAATTTGTAACCATGTCCTCCAAAAAGCCTTCTGTATCTCCCCTTGCCTCAGCCACTCAACTGACCTCTAGTATCTCAGCTGCCTCTATCGTACCTTCAGGTTCAAATGAAAGTTTCCAGGCATTGGAATCTCCAGCAACATCTAAAGGTGCAGCCACTGAAAGTTCAGCCTCTTTGCCAGTCTTGACCTCTAATTTTAATTCTACATCTCCTGCAACCTCCACATCTCCTAGTCTCCACGTTCTACCCAAATCTCCTTTACCACCTTTAAGTTCTAATTCTGATCTGGTTATAGATACAGAAACTGAGTCTGTAGTTTGCCAGCAGTTAGAGCACTTTCAGAATCAAGCCTTGGAGGTTAAAGAGATGAGTTCCTCCATATTTGAAAAGAATTTTCGTCATAGCAGAACTAGAAAGCCCAAAGGACTGGAGATTACCCCCACTCTGGTTATTACTGGCAGTGACCCCAGTCCACTAGGAATACTGAGTCCTTCTCTACCAACTGCTTCTCTTACACCAGCACTTTTTTCACAGGTAATCCTGTCTTTTATTTGGGATCCAAATGCTGTATGTAAATTTGCAGTAGAATAGAAATTTACCTGCTAATTCTTGCTCTTTGTTTAAGTTTGGGAATAAAAGTAGGAATTTAAGAGGCTGGACAGCTATTCAGCTGAGGTGGTCATTGATCAGAAAATTGACCTAATTTGTTTAGTATATATTTTAGTCTGTGCTTGAGGAGTTAATGCAGAATGCTTAATGTTGGGTATTTTTTAAAAATATTACTTTTCCTTAAGAGATCTAAGCTTCCTAGATTTTTTGTAATTATTCCTAATTAGGACAAAAGGGACAGTTGGGTGTAGCGGTGAAGGCATCTGGCTAGAAACTGGGAGACAGAGGTCCAGTTGTGCCTTGGACACGAAGTGACCTTGGACCAGTAACTTGCTCTCAGTGCTAGGAAGGAAACAGTGGCGAACCATTTCTGAAAATCCTTGTCAAGAAAACTTCAGGGACTTGACCAGGTAGTTTCTGAAAATTGGACACCATTGAATGGAAGATTTTTTAAAAAGAACAAAAGTTAACATTTCACTATGTAATCATGGTTACCTAATTTGGACTTGCTGTCTTCTTTTCCTTTTAAGGATAAATTTCTTCAACCGATTAAGGCCATATTTAATTATTATGGCTACAATATTATGCGCAGCATAATTTTTGCTTAACATAGCAGTTTAAAAATCTTTTTGTAGGTGGTTCCATATTCTAAATTAAGCAGGTACCCTGATGTACTTTCTGCTATAGTTAATTTTGCTTCATGTATAAAAATAGAACGTAATGAGAAAGCAAGTGAGTTGAATGTAACAAAGAATAGAGAGGTGTTGGCGAATAGGCAATCCAACAGAATGATTTAACTATGATTAAATAATTTGGATTATATCCCAAGATGGCAACCTTGGATAATTTTGTAAAATCTAATCAACCTAGTTTTTAGAGGTCAGCACCTAAAGCTGTAAAGTTCCAGAAAACAATTGATCAAAATGAAAACAAAAGTAAAATCCGAGTAACAACCTCAAGCTTTAGATTCATGGAATTCAGTGAACGTATCAGAATATGACTATTTCATCGTATAAGTCATTTAAAAAATAAAAAATTCTGCATCTTATGACCACCTGTACAAGACAGTTTATTAAAAATTGTTTACATAAGTAAACAAGAAAATAAGTAAATAAGTAAATAAGAAATAAGTTTCCTTTATTTTTGAGCCATCAGGTGTTGCTAGGACAGGAAATAAAATAATTTAAAGCTGTTAGATTTCCCCTCAATCTTATCATGCCTGTTAGGATCTGACATTGAAATGGAGAAAATCTCTGGTCATCTCCTCTTGCTGTATCTGGAAAAGGAAGATAGCTAACTAAATTGTCTTCCTGTTTTTGTGATGTGCTATCATTCTTAGTTCCTAGACTAGACAGAATCAGTTTGATTTTCTACCCTTTATTAACTATCATATTGATGTCTGATCCCAGACTAGTGTTGTTAAAACAGATGTCTTGCCTTCGTGATATTAGATGCTTATTAGTCATATTGAACTAAATGCGCACTTCCAAATGATTAGTTTTATCCTATTGTTCTGTATGTCCCACAGACACCTATTTTACTGACACCAAGCCCCTTGCTCTCCAGTATCCATTTTTGGAGTACTCTCAGTCCAGTTGCTCCTCTCAGTCCAGCAAGATTACAAGGTGCTAATACCCTCTTCCAGGTAAGTTTCAGTTCATGACAGCAAACAAAGTCTTTGTGGCAAATATTTCCTAAATAGTCATGTAAGAGTGAGCCCTTTTCTTCATTAGGACAAGATTGTGCAACATTATTTAAGCCAAGGACTAGACTTGGCCTTTATGGAGCAAGTTGGGAGGAGGCTGCGCTCCAAAAAAGTTCAAGAAGGTGACAAAGGGATGAACCAGTGTAGGAAAATTGCTTATGATTTAACTACAACTAATCTTATCACTTATCACATTTTATTCATTCCTTCTATTATATTAAGAACTGCAGTTGACAGTATATTAAAAGGTGATCTTAGAAGATTTGACGGATTGTACACCCTTGATTTAGCAGCAAAGCTCCATTTAAACCACTCATATTTCCTAACTGTTTGCAGCTGCTAAGCTTAGTTTAACAAAATAATACGATTTTCCCCAACCGGGTGTCCTTCAGATAAATTCGGACTCCAACTCATATTCCCAGGCAAGCTTGTTTTAATCATATTTGTGTAAATTAAAAGTTAAGGCTAAAATAATATCATATTCTACGATAGATAAAGGAATTAGTTTACAATCTGAGTGAGAGTACAGTTAAAACAAAAGTTTGAAGATGCCTTCAATTGAACCCACTCATCTGATCACTGTGTCCATGGCAGCAAAACAAAAGTGAATAGCTGTTGCCTTTCAACTGGTTTTTTTTCATTTAGTCTTGCTAACACCTCTGGAACTTTCAGTTGATGCCCCATTCAAGTACTAATTTAATCTACATTGTGGAACCCTATGGGTTTACTGTTAGCCTCGTCAGAATTGTTAAAAGATAGTTAAATTTAAAGAACAAAAAAGAAGAGGCAGAGCAAGTATCTCAGCCAAAGCTTCACAATCCAAATGTAGGTGGTGACTCTGACTCTGCATTGAGGGCTTTCTATCTTTGCACATTTAAGGATCAGTGTTATATTTAATTTTTCAGTGTTATAAGAAGGTTGCTGTGGAAAATATTATGAGAATAAAGATAGGTGTCATTGTTGAGCTTATTTATGCTTTTTTCCCTTTTATTAAGATTTAAAATAAATCTGCTTATCTGTATCAGGGGCTCCATGTTGATCAGGGATAAGCATACTGCTTTGGGGCAGGGACTCGTTTGAAATTTTAAGGGATGTGGTAGGTATACTTAAGAAAATGGCTGCCACAAGAACTTCCCTGTTCAAGAAATAGCTACAAGGACAATGTGAACAAAAAGTAAAATGACCTTCTAGGTTGATCATCCCTGTGAGGAGTTTGTAAAGCTCAAACAACTTCTAGCCGATAAATAACATTGTGTGATGTTTTACTATGCAATAAAATTATATAGTTCTGCATCTTGGTCATACGCAACTTGCTAATTGGTCCTATGAAGCCATCTGGTAACATCATTACCCTAGAATCAGACTCTTGGAACAGGAATGCTATCTGTGGATTTGGGAGTTGACTTCCACACACCTTAAAATTATTGAGGTTGAGAAACACTGTCTTAGGTAAATGAGTCCATCCTCCTGATTATGGAATAAGAAGAGGAAAGTTAAAAATGGTTGCACCTTTTTTGCTTGATTTGAAAGATTTAAGGAAATTCAATATTTCTGTGAAAATAACCAAAATTCAGGGAGGAGGGGAAATAACTAAAGGTCCTTGCTTTTTAAGATTTTACTGTATCATGCTAGAAGAAATGACTTGGTAACTTGGGCACTCGTCTTTTGAAGCAAGTGTTTTGCTGATGACAAAAGCAAACCAGTGTAAAAGCTAACTGAAAATATAGGTATTACTTTATAGACAACTGAAGCATTAATACCTGTTTCTGTTTTATAGTTTCCATCAGTGCTGAATACTCATGGACCATTTACTCTGTCGGGAATGGATGGGCCTTCCACTCCTGGCCCTTTCTCGCCAGATTTACAGAAGACTTAACATGTGGCCTTTTGAAAATGGATAGCTTGGACTAAAAAGAGGAAGAGATTTTATTAAAAATGCTGCAATCCAGGTTTTAAGAGACAGTTTTTAATTCCATAGAGACGATTTAAAGTGACTTGGTTTTTGTTATTCTCAGTTCAGATGCCTTTGCAAAATTCTCTTTAAAACATATGAAAATTCATAAGGAAGTGCCTTGATTGTGGAAATTCTTCTCTAGAGTTTCTCTCTTCCCCGTTCCTTACTGCTTCTTTTGAATGAAGAAGGCTTCTTTTAACAAAGAACACACTTCTGTATTATAATGAGGTATTGGACAGAACAGCCAACTGATATCAGATGGTTTTTGACTGATATCCATCCATTCCTTTGCTTTTTGCTTTTTTATGTCAAAAAATTATTTCATGGAAGCTGGCATTCCAAGAAATACTTGGAAAGTGAATAAAAAGAGTTATTTTTTACAGTGAATTCCAATGATCTTAAAAAGTTTTAGCATTGCAACGTACAATAGTGTAGAAGAGAGTTGAGAAAATTTTTAATAATGGGTTGCTATGGGTAAGAAAGCTTTTTTCTTTGGCACAAAAAATGTCATTTTATCCCTCACATAATAGTATGGTATTTTTGTATGCTTGAATGGCACAGTTATGCATAGATCATGGATTGTATTGCTTTGATCTTTCCAAAATATTTAAAGGTGTTAATATTTGATAAGCCAAGTCAAGAAAAATAAAAGCAAATCCCTTGTTATTTAATAAACAATTTTGCAGGTTGAGCTAATTCAAGAAACTTGCAGCGGATATGAAGTAGCACTGAATTAATAAGCATTTATTTGACATCCAGTGGGTTATTGTCTTGCTTCTTGTTAATGTTGTACGTAAGTGTGACATTTGGGAAGTGAATATTTATTGTTTATTCTTTTTCCCTCTCAAAGAGGGAAAGAGACATACCTTCTCTTGGCCACCTGCATATTTATGATAGGTATCCTTTTAAATATAAGTGGATTGGAGTTTTGAATGTTCAAGCCTTTAAAATTAAAAATGTGCCATTATTAGAAAGTTAAATGTTTTGAGACCGGAGGAAGAAAGCACAAAGTGGCACATGCTGTTTGTAAACTGAAAGGAGTAAAATGTGTTTTTAGCTTGTACTTAATCTTGTTGGAAGATATTCATTGGATAACAACTTCAGCATGATGGTAGTTGAAACTTCTTTGCAAACATATGGTAACATAATAATGACTTGATAAAGTAGGAGACTTGTTTAGGGACTAGAAATTGAAAGTAAAAAGAATAGATCTAACACAAGCAATAGTAGTTGAATTGCAAGAAGATTCATTCTTTCTGCATAATATTTATATTCAGGCCCTGTTATATTTCAGAAAACACTTTAAATCTTCTTACCTCAATAGCCTAATTGTGTCTGAAAGAAAGTTGAAGTAGATATCAGCAAAGTGTTATAATCGTTTTTTCTGTGTTGAGGTGGGCTTGGTTTGAAAAGAACGAACAACCTGTGAGTTTTTATTCATATACCGTATTTCCCCATGTATAAGCACCCCCTTTGTATAAGCCACCCCCCCAATTTTTGGACTGTGAAGTTTTGAAAAAAATATTTTATTAGAGAAACAAGTTATGAAGAAAGAAAATTTACAAAGAAACAAAATTCGACGTCTAGATCTACAACTTCGGTCATGACGCCGAAAGCGGTGCAGGCGATGCTAGCAATCTACGCATCGGAACGAGAGTAGGAACGAAGCATTCAGGCCGATGCCTAGCGTATGCATTTCTATCGCGTACTCGCACTCGTAATCGTATCATCACGTACAATTTTTACAAAAAAGTATAGCATACTGCTGGAAAACCAGTTTATTCCTACTTTATTATTTTATGCATTTTTCACGTATAAAAAGTGTACCTGCTTTGTATATGCGACCCCCCTACTTTTTGGGCTTGAAAATTTTGGAAAAAAGGGGTGGCTTATACATGGGGAAATATGGTACTTACTCTGAACAGGCTTTATATGTTGGTTGGTATGCAAGAATGCCTCAAGGTAACATATCAGACTAAAGTAGGAGACATTTGCTGATTTATCTGCATTAAACTGTAGTTGGCTCCCTTGATCAGGCAGGGATTCAAAAAGCCCAATCCTGTCTCTTGTTGTACCTAATTGAATATATGTAGATCTATTTCAGTATAGAGATGTAAAACATTGATGGCAAGTAACAAAAGAGAGCTAGTTTGGTTTAGTGGTTAGAAATCTAGAAAGCAGGATGTATCACCTTATCAATGAAAGCCAACTGGTGACCTTGGGCCACACACTTTCTCTCAGTCCAAATTTACTTCAAGGTTTGTTGCTGTGGGGAAAATAGGAGGAGGAAGGTATGTTGGATATGTTCTTTGCAAAAATTATAAAGGTGGGATTTTTTGTTGTTCAATTGCTAAGTTGTGTCTGACTCCTTGTGATCCCATGGACCACAGACACCAGGCTCCCTGTCCTCCACTATCTCCTCCCAAACCCACACTCATTGTGTTGATGGCACTATCTAACTATCTCATCCTTTGCTGATCCCTTCTCCTGTTGCCTTCAATATTTCCCAACATCAGGGTCTTTTCCAATGAGTCCTCTCTTCTTATTTGGTGGCCAAAATATTTGAGCTTCAGCTTCAAAAGGTGGGATACACATAAATAAAAATAAATAAAAACAAACTGACACAGCAGGCATGTCCAGGTCAGAGCAGCACTTTTTAAGGGCATATGTATTAAATAGGAAAGGTTTTTAAAATGAAATTTTGCTATAACTTTATGATGGAGAGTAATGGTGGTTAAAATATAAATAATAAAATTTCTGCTCATCTCCTTTGCCAGTCAGACAACAGAAAGGACTGGCAGATTCCAATTAAATGTTTAAAAAAAATCTGATGGGCTTAGCCTTTTGCATGGATGCTTCAACTCTTAAAGTTTCTCAGCCAGCGCTGGTTGGAAAATTCTTGGAGTTGAAGTCCACACATTTGAAAGTTGCCAAGGTTGAGAATCACTGGCCTGAATGGCTTTTGTTTTCTTTGGGGGTTTCCCTTTTCCAGTATTGTGCTTTCCTATGTGATACAAGGAGCAACTATATTTAGATTTGCAAGTGAACCAAAACTTAGATCATCCTGAAAGTAGTTTTGTTTATCCTAGTTTCCCAAGCTAATCCCAATAGTCTGAGCAAAAATATTCTGCTACAAACCACTGGCCCTCTTATGCCAAAATCCAGGTATAGAGTTTCCATTTTTAGTGACTTAGCAGAACTCTGTCCTTTTATTTTATGGGAGATTTATGTGTAGAGAAATTTTGAATTTCTGTCTTCTTGCTTCATCATTAATAAATCATTTCCTCTTATTTTCTATTTAAGAATGAGAACTGGAGAACTACTATATTTGGTATGAAAGAGTCTTTAGCCATTACATAGCGACATTACCCAGAGAAGCTTCCCTCTGTATTAAAAAAAAAAACTGTTGAAAACTTCTTTGTGATTTATTTAGGCAGATATTTTATACTAGACTACTTCCTGATTGGTTGACCTGCTATTTTCTTTTTTAAATTTCATATGCTTACATTTTGAACAGAATTTTTGTCCCATTGCAACTGTTCACCTAGGTACTTCATTGCTATTTTCTAAAACCCATTTAGTAAATGTAAAAATTCCACTCTGGCAATCAAGGATAGAGGAAATGCAGGTTGAGAGAGAGACATTAAAGGGTTAATCTCCATTTTACACCCCAGATAATATAGAATATTTTAATTTCCAGATTCCAGATCTAGATTTTATTTTGCTTTTCATGTATGCTTTCTTTAATTGTGTTAGGTAATAAACATTTCCATGCTTTCAGCTGTTAGGTCATGTTAACATTAATCAGATGGTATTTTACTTTGATATGATTACTGATTAAGAAATATCTGGTACTTTATTGACTTTTCTTAATGCCGTATTTTTCTCATCTGATAATTATAGAAAACAGCAATCTCTATATTTATCTTTACAATATTATTTTATATGTTAGCACAAATTGATATTCATTGGTTTTTACCTAATCAGTTAGTGGTTGGACAAATGTTGAGTCTCCTATATAATTATGTATAATTTTTGCTACTCTTTTATTGCATTTTATATAAACAATCATTCATTCAAAAGATTTTAATAGCCTGTCCAGATTATACTAGTTAGAATCTGTGTTTTAAAGATCATTTTAAATTAGATACTACCTTTCAAGTATTAAAGTAAGCAGTGAAAATTTTATCTTTTACAAACTACATTTGTGAGGTCTCCCTTCCCTACCTCATAACTGGTGTGAAAACAGATTGTGAGAGGCCCTAAAGGAACCTATTAATGTGAGGAAATGCCAAAGAACTTTAATTCTCCTTTGCTAATGTTCTGTGAATGTAAATCAGTGACATTTTAATTTAATAACCAAATACTTCCTGAAGCTTGTTGATATTTCCAAAATTTTGGTTTAGAAAGAAGCATTAGGATAATATTCATGGTACTGGAAAAAAGTGAGGCATGGTTCTTAAGGGCTAAACTAGAGTACTTTTTCAAAATAAAAACTGAAATTAACTATCAGTAATTATCAGTGAGTGAGCCAAGTTGGTGTAATGTTGAAAGTCCCACTGGTTTTAATAAGTATGAATATGTTAACAGAACATAGGCATCTTGAAGAAGTTAAAAGTGATAAAGCTGTTTTATAGCTGTTTTATAGCTCTGGATCAGATATGTCCAGTCTGCAGGCTGTATATGGCCCCTGGCAGCTAGTAACACAGACCCACAAAATAATAATAAATATTAAAAAATAAAGCTTTGTTATAGTATATATTTTATATGCAGCCCAAGACAGTTCATCTTCACTCAATGCAGCCTAGACAACTATGGTTGAAAAACTCTGCTCTCTACTCATTAATTAGGATTTGCACTAATGCTAAGAGTATCTTGATTTTTCTTTGAATAGCTATTTGCTTTTTAGTTCCAGAAAAAAATGCTTCTGAAAGTAGTTCACAATGCTACTATCAAGGCTTGACTGAACTTGATAAAATATGAATATAATGTCAGACTATGATACTACTGCCATGATATCGTAGTTGCTGACCATTGTTTAAAAGAGTTTTCTAATGGGGTCACTCTTATAATGCTATGGAATGTTATTAATCACAGTAATGAAGCTAATTTGATTGCTTAGAGAAATTTATACCTAAGGCAATATTTTGTAGAGTTAAACAACCAGAATGGTATTCAGATTGTTTTAGTAAACATGATTGAAAGGTACTGCACTTTATGGCTGCAGTTTTTAAATTGAGTTGTACATTCAGGATTTCTAATACTATAGATCATTGTGTCCTATTTCTCTTTTTGTTAAAACATAATTTTGAAGTTACTAAAATATCATTTTGTCCAAAAGTATCTTAAACCAATTTTCTAAAGATGAGTTAAAGAGTAGCATTAGCATTAGTCATACAACTGTGTCTCTCATATAAATAACCTGAATGGTTGAAATAGTTGTTACCATATGAATGTATCTTTGCTTGAAGCAGTTTTACATTTGCAAATTAAATATTTATTTAGTTTTCCATTCCATGTTGGTACTGCTTAAATTGAAGGAGTAAGCTTTTCTTTAGTTGACGGGTCACAAAGCTAAATTGGTTTAGCATCTTTTATTTTCATGCTGTTGAAAAAGATATGAACGGATTGGCTCAAAATAAGATTTCTGTGTAATGATAAACCTCCAAAGTTGTATAGTTAGTACATTCTTCAGTGTGAGCATTAATTTGGAATTCTTTTGCAGAGCTTTCTAGAAAAAAAAAGTGGAACACACCAAAGATTTTACTAGTCCATGATCAGTCATATGCTACTAGAAAGGCCAGAAACACAGCTTTAAGGTAATATGAGGTGGGGGGGGGGGGCAATTGAGAAAAAGGTCCAATAGATTTGAACTCTTGAAAGAAATTTGAACTCTTGAAAGAAACGTGGAATATAAATGTGGCCCTCAATTAATACTCAATTATTCTTGTCCCAACTTTACTGTATCCCATTTCAAAGCCATCTTAAAGTCCGATATGGAACAAGTTCCTTAATATTACTTGTGCACTACATTAATAACTGGAAGTTTTTAAAACTGTCTCCATATCTGGTTTTATTTTTTTCTTTAAATAAAATCTGTCTTTAGTATACCTTGTGTAATTAGAAGGGAAGAAGTAATGACGTTTTCCAATAGATCCTTTAAGCTGTGTTATTTTGTCTTAGGTGGTGCTTTAACTATAGTTGATATTTGATCTCTCTCTCTCTCTGTTCAGCTGCACAGAATTTTAAATACTAGAAATATTAGAATAACAATACACTTGCTAAAACTTGTATGGGAAAGCCTCTTCTTCTAAATCCATGTAACAATGCATTGTTTGTATTTTTAATGCAGTTACCAAATGACCTTATGTAAACATAGTGGTTGTGACAGTAGTTTTTTATATTGTTTTGACATGTTGACATATGTTCATGCATGTTGTAAGAATATACAAGGGGAAATCTAGGTGGTGGAGGAATGGAAGAAATTAGACTAGGCCTTGATGTATATGTTGATATAACAAACATCTTTCAGAAATGAAAGCTGACACAATTAAATATTGTTGAAGTACTTTTAGTGCTTCACAAATACTTCTGCCAAAATGCAGTTTAGCTAGTACCTACACTGCAGCTGCAGTTAGTGGAGTTCTCTGCAAGGGATTGGTAATCATGAAACTTACTGTGGAATTTCTGACTTACATTGATGAATTAAAGCAACTTTGTTCGGTTTGCTCTGGTATTGCTATTGTTGCTGCAATTCCCATGTTAGTTACAAACACATACAGCACTTGGTTTTTTGTTTTCTATTTCAATGGTTACTTTTCCAGAATAATGTCTATTTTTGCCCAGCATATATATTGCAGACAAAAGTGGAATTATCTTAATTTTGGAGATGATAGCCAACTATGATGGTTAATCCAAAAAGAATGAGAGTGGGTAAGGCCAGGTCCCTGAGCTTTTTCTTAGTGTAATTGCCTATTGGAAAACCTTTGCAGTTTTCTATGGTCTTTGTGGGGCCCTTAAAGGATATGAAAATCAGTTCTAGCTTCTCTTCCCTCATCCGATGCTCTCATGGGTTTGGGATGTGTTCTGCAATATCTATGTTGGCACATCTATGGGCTGGGTTGGAAATATTAAATATTTCTTAACATTTGTCAGATGTTCAGCCTTTTGCCACAAGAGTCAAGTGAATTTACCTAGGGAAATGTAGCTTGTTGTTCTTTTAAAAAATTGAAACCCTATACATTTTATATATTTAGTATATTGCCATTGTGTAAAATAATGTTAATATATAATAAAATTGCACGCATAGCCAAAGTTCTAAGTAAGTTTTCAGTATTATTTTCTTGACTACAAGAATATCTAGACAAGGCATTAGGCAGACTTTCATAATATTAAGGTGTTTGTAAGAAAGGAGAAAAATCTGTATCTTCAGTAATAATTTTAATTACCAAATCTGATTCAGAGCTTTGCAAGATTAATCTTACATTTCTCAAGAACAGTTTGGAGGCCTAATTGCTTTAAAAAATGATATATTAGTTACTGCACATCCTAACATAATGAAATTGTTCCTTGAGAAAGCAGTCTGGTTTTTTTTGCTATTGGTTAGACTTTTTGCAAGAAAAATGGTATGGCAATTTTTCTTTTTACAAGAATTGGGGAAAGTGTTAAATATTTTCATTAAGAACTGATAGAGGGGTTTAGTTTGTTTAATAATATAGGTTTTTAAAAATGTAGTAAATCATGTTAATATGTATGTGCAAGAAGACTTACAGAACAATTGTATTTTTAAGAATAAAATATTTTTTAACAAAAAATTATCTTGGAATATTGTTTTCTTCCATAGTAGACAGAATATGCCACTACAGTACAATTTAAAAAGAAATATTTAAAAATATTTTGCCAGAAGTGATATAACCATCAACTGTTATCTAAATCAGATATGTTGTAGTACAAATTTACAGCCTGTTTCTATGGTAGTTTTCTTGAATTTGGATGTAATTAAATGACGCATATCCATCAGAGTACCGCATTGAAATCTGAGGTTTTGCAAATTAAAATACTACTGTGTTAGGGTTCAGTTTGAAAATCTTGCTATGCAGCAACCTCTCTTTAATAATATTTTCAGATATATTTGCAGATGATTTTTTTATGGATAGTGAAGATTGCCCTATCAAAGAAATAAGACCAGAGAAATAAGTGTAAAGGATATCCAATCAAAGTATTTGACTGCCAAACCAAAATGTAACTAGCCCTTCTCCTACCTCTCACAGCTGGCTCTGAAGATCTTGACGAACGAGAAGCAGGTAAGCAACCAGGCAAGGTGATTGTGTCTTCTGAAGTTTCCTTTTGGGTTGCAGTTTGAAGCGATCTAGCACCAAGGGCTGAATATAGTCCCCTTTCACTAGATTGAGATTATTTCATGCTATTTATATACCTTGCTTTTAAAGTGACTGAATAAAATTGTAGATTGTAGTTTGCTAGTTTGTCAATGTGGCAAAGTGCTTCAGTGGGTGGTAGTTTAACAATTCCAGACTTTCGTAGGTGACACTGATTTTTTTAGATCCATTTCAGACTGGTTTCAGGCCTGGTTATAGAAAAAGAAAGTCACCCTGCAGGATGAATTGGGAAGACATGGGGATTGTGACCATATTATATTCTCTTGGACCTCTCGGTGGCTTTCAATACCATTGACTGTGATGTTCTAGATAAACTGTCGGGATGCACGCTGTACTAGAATGATTCCACTTTATTTGGCCATTTCCAGAAGGTGATGCTGTGGGATTTATTATTAAATGTATATGCTATTCAACTCTCAACAACTCTGCGTGATTTCTGCCTCATGGCGGTTGGACCTCTGAATGTCTCAGAACTCAGCTATGCATTTTAGTCTCTACACTAGACAGTGATTCTCAATCTGAGCAAATTTAAAATGTGTGGATTTCAACTTCTGCCCCAGCTGCGGAATTCTGGCAGGTGAAGTCCACACATCTTAAAGTTGCTGAGATTGAGAAACACCAACCTACATATGACTGCTGGGAGAGGGTGTCAGCTGAGGATAATATCAGTCATTAATAATGACGCTCGGCTTCACCTGGCCTTTTTCTCTAACCCGGTGAGGTGCTTGGGGTCTTGAACTAGTGGTTGGGCAAGTAATGAACTAGAGAGGCCAATAAACAGACTTAGTATAGACAAGACGGAAATCCTGTTTATGGGTGGCAGGTCTGTCCAGCTAAATGGTGCTCTGCCTGTCCTAATGGATGTCTGCACTTCAGGTTATCTAGGTACCAGGCTTTAAAGTCATCCCATGAGCTTTCTAGGTCTTCTGCAATGGGCCTTTACAAGGGAGAGAACTTTTTCCATGGTGGATACCAATTTATGTATCTTTTCCCAAGGAGGCTTGACTGGCACCCGTTTGCATCATTTTGGTTCCAGGTGAAGAAAACGTTTTTCTTTTCCAAGGCTCTTCATTTGATTTTTAATTCTATTTTTAAAAATTATCTTTGTGCAGCTGCTGGTGTTTTTGTTTTTATGTTACTTGATTTCATTGATATATTTTTATTCAAATTGTATTTTTAGTGTAAACCATCCAAAGAGCTTTGGCTATTGAGCAGTTTAGAAAAAAAAAAACAAATAAAGCAACAACTCAAGTTTTCAGGTTTGATAATCCAGGTGCAGCATGGCCAGTTTGAGGCAGGCTTGCTAATTAAATAGTATAATTTTAAAGATAACAATTCTGGACCTCTTATACCCATGATGGCGAACCTATGGCACACGTGCCACAGGTGGCATGCAGAGCCATTTGTGCGGGCACACAAGCCCCAGCCAAACTTCCTGCACTGCGCATGTGCGTGCCTCCCAGCTGATTTTCAGCCTGCTTGAGGCCATTTTCGCCCTCCTGGAAGCTTGAGGGAAGCCTCTGCAGTCTCCGGAGGCTGAAAAATGGCCTTCCGGAAATACCGGAAGTGCCGAAATGGGCCCATTTTCAGCCTCCTGAGGCTCCAGAGGCTTCCCCTGAGCCTCCAGCAGGACAAAAACAGTCTCCCCCAGCTCCAGAAGCACTTCCGGTATTTCCAGAAGGCCTGTTGGGCACTTTTCGGTAGCAGTGGCTTTCTTCGAGCCTCCGGGAGGGTGAAAACGGCCTCAAATGGGCCAAAAATCAGCTTCGAGGTGTGCGCATGTGCAGTGCAGGTAAGGTTGTGTGCGCATGCGCAGGGGACATGGGGCGCATTGAATTGTGGGTGCCAGCACATGCATGTTTCAGGCACACCACAACAAAAAGGTTCGCGATCACTTTCCTTCCTATACTGCAGACTTTGAAATAACTTTGTTAAGCAATTTGAAGAATATTGTTTGCTAAATGTCTTGTAGGGGCCTGCAAAGCATTTGGAATGATACTGCCTGAAATTGCTTTCGAGATACATCACTTTTGAAATGCTGTGTGCTCGAAGTGGCCTGTTTCATATTTGAAACAGGAATATTTACATTGTTATTTTATTCATAATGTTTTGCACATTTATAGTGTCTTTTATGTATTAAAACAATTGATAAAGACTCTCCAAAGCAAAGTGTGTTAACAGTTTTTCACATTTTTTTTGCCTTTGGCTGCATTTACAAAAAACACTTGTTGCAAATTGTTTTACTCAGACTGAGTTCACACAATATGTTAATCCGTATTTTGCTCAATGTGGGTTATAGAATAAATCACAATTGGTTGCATTTATATGACATACTAAACCATCTTTTACAAACCACAATCTCTGGGTTCGAACTGCAATCAAAATAACCTGATTGATAAATACAATCAAAATAAACTGTGATTATAGAAATGCAAATCAAGCAAACAACATGATTGAAGGTTAAATTTTTCAATCCTGGTTTGTATTTTGGTATGAACTATATTTGGCTATTGATAGATTGGATGCTGCACTCCAGCAAGTAGGTGGGCAAACTTAAATTTATTCTTAATTTTAATATATTACTGTATAATTAATTTTTCATTCTCACATATTAAAAATAGCTTGCAGATAATACAGTATGGAGACCTTTCTTTTGTAGCAGCAGAAGCTTCTGTCTTCATCAGCTTCAGCTTTGCATAATGCCAGAATTTTCACACATGAAATTGATACTAATATTGACCTTCTGGTCTAGAAATCTAAAAATCTAGAAATGGGGAATTAGAAAAGTTTACACTCATCTGAATATATAAACGTGAGTACACGTGCTCTGTAATAAGGACAGTGCATTTTAAAGTTTAAACAACATGAAAATCAAAGATGAAGGTGCATACCCATGCAACATAGCAATCTGAAAGCCACATTGCAATACAAATTTAGTATAAATATACAATTTTGAAATGAGAAGTGCAACAAGCCTCTTCGAAAAAATAGCTTAAGTAATGTTGCTGGGTCCCATCTTGGTCACTTCACAAGTTCATGCAACAATACCATATTTAACATTCTTTCATATATACATAACAGATGTATACCCCACCCACCCCTGGGACAGCATTTGCAATTCCCACCTATCCCATTACCTTCATTTGAGACAGTCATGAGAATAGCCGCCACTTATTTAGTACTTCTCAAGTTCTCTTCCTGGAAGGCACCTATTATACAATATTGCACAATTGCAAGAGACATAACATTTATGTTCATGTACTTTAAATTTTTTTAATACTTTAGGACTTGGGCTTTTCTGACAAATAAAGTAGCCTATCTGGCTTATACCACAGGCTAATGTTAAAAGGCCTGCTTATACTGATTCAATCAAACAACCCACCTTTACCTGAACTATATACTGTACTATCTACAGTATCTAGGTGCTTTTTACCACCAGAACATAATAAAATCCCATCTGGGGACAGACAAAACTTGAATACTTCAAGCTGGGTGGCAATTTTATAACAACATATTTATTCTGGCTATGTACAACACAAAGGGTAGAGGTTTTTAAAATTTTCCTGCAACTAAGTCTTTGCAGCATACATAATTAAGAAGGGTGCTTTCCAAAATTTCCTACATATAAAACACTACTATATCCCCATCCCTACCCCCAGTTTCCTGTCAGCAAGGTCTGTAAAATGACAGTACATTTTTTTTTCAACTGAGCTTTTTAATGGATTTTAATTGATCATATATCAAAAGTTTGGCCTCCTTAGGATTCTGCAGATTGTCCCTCAATCCTCGTTGTTATCACCATTCCCTTCTAATCATAAATGGGAATGAACTGTAATCAAGGAGTTCAGTTGTAGAAAAATCAGGTAGTTTCAAATCAGGCTTTGATAACAAATCTTTCAGGTGAAATGACCATGTGCTTGATCCAGGTAAGAATTTGCTGTTTTATTTAACTCTGATAAAGTCCGTGTTCCCCTATTGTTGGTTGCTTATCAGGTGATACATCCATATCTACAAAACAAAATTTTGAAACAGTCATTTAAAATGAAGTGCCAAATGGCCTTAGCTGGCTGTTTAAAAAAAATTAAAATACCACATACCTTCTGCCTCTACTTGGTTTATAAAGTACCATATTTTTCGCACTATAAGATGTACTTCCCACCCAAAGTGGGTGGAAATGTCTGTGCATCTTATAGAGTGAACATTGCAGGGGGGAGGGGGTTGGTGCGCCACTTGTTGGGGCATGCTGGAGCATTTGATTGGCAGTTGGATCGGCCTCTTGGAATAGCGCCAATCAGCTGTTCTAGGTGGTGAAGATTGCTGCCGCCGCCTATTGGCCCCTGTTCATCGCGGCCCATTCGCTGTCTGCCCATTCGCCATGGCTCATTCGCCGACAATGGGCGTCGAACAGTCCGCGATGAACAGTCCACAGTGAACAGTCCATGGTGAACAAGCCATAGCGATCAGCGGTGAATGGGCTGCGGCAAATGGGTGGGTGGCAAACTGGCAGCAGTGACTGGGCGGCAATAGGCAGCAGTGGTGGTGATCCCCGCCGCCTAGAACAGCTGATTGGTGATATTCCAAGAGGCCGATCCAACCACCAATGAGCTGCTTGGCAGCAAAAGGTCCAACATTGCCTGGGGCAGTGGCAGCTCAGCTCAGCTCAGCTCAGTTGATCGGTGGTAGGCTCAACAGAGTGGAGCCCTGTCGAGCCACATGCTAGTGCTGTGATAATGTGCTGAAGCTGATCAGGACACTGTTTGCTGCAAGAACGCTAGCCAGATGAATAACAGATGGATGCTGGGAGGCAGAGACAGATTTTTTTTCCTGTTTTCCTCCTCTAAAAGTAATGTGCATCTTATAGTCCAAACCATCTTATAGTGCAAAAAATATGGTACTATTAGTACTGGCTTAAATATACAATAGATGTAGATGAAGACTTGTATTTCTGGACATCAATTTTGACAGGTGCTATTCTTCAAAACGTGTATTCTCCAACTCATGCATACGTTACTCCTTCATATATGTACTGGTACCCAGGTTACCTCATGAAGTAGAACCAAGTCATGAATACAACTGACTTGTAAATGGGACAGATTATGTGGCTTCATGACTACTGAGGTAAACCTCATCTCTAAAGCACACAGGATTCATTTCTATATTTGTTGGCCTTAAAAATTGTGCACTTAACACTTCTTGATCATAATTAATGCTAATAATTAAAATAATTCTGACAGCATTTAAGGAAGATTCTATGGTACATTACAGAAATGGGAAATCCTGCCTTTCGATAGGATGCTGTACTATTAATTTCGGACATGCTGGATTGAACAGTCGGGGAACGGAAGGCCCTAGGTTCCTTTTCCTTGATGTATAATATCAGATTCCTTATTTCAATGCTTCCTTAATTCTTCAATGGAAATGGTGTCAACTGTAATTTGAAAATGTGCATCGCTGGAGGTTTTACTCCTCTATACATAGCAAAGAAAACTAACTACTGCTTATTTATTTAGTGTTTATAGCCACTTTCTTGGCTTTGTTTTTCATGGTTTCCTTGTCCAAGAATAAAGAAAGGGATATGTAGTTGCTTGGGCATTCAGTCCAATCCAAGCAGGAAAGGGGGAAAGGAAGCAGCTGTAAAATAAACGCTTCCTTGAATTTTTATAAAATTCAGAGTTTTTCCCTGTCTGTCCTGCAGGAATATACACCCTCTTTCACCTGGGCTGCTTTCCCATCTTTTCAGAAGTGTTGCTGCTCATAAGGGTGGGGGGACACAAGTCTCACCTGATTGGGACTGAGGGTGAATCCTGTGGAAAAATAGAAGGAAGACGTAGAAAGTAAAAGCCAAAGCTCCAAAGATGGTTCCACACACCAGGAAACTATAGCTTCCTTGATCATGAATGATCTGTCAGAAAGAAAACAAGATATTTTAGGTTTTCAAGCTTTGGATACTGTCTTAAAAATTAATGAGCACAGCTCATTGGCAGGAAGAATAATGTTAAAGTGCTCCAGTATTGCTGACTGAGGTTATGCAGACTTCATTTCCCTATTGAAGAAGTTTGTGCCAGACTGTCTGACCTTCAGGGAAAGTAGCATATGCCATCTGCTTCCCCAGGGTTTCTACCTGCTGGACATTAGTGTGTGTTTCCACTCTGTGTTTGTGTGTGCGTGGGAAGACTTGCAATTCAAGAAGTGCCAAAATCTGAGAAGCAACATGATTACATGAAGAAATGCTTACTCCATGTTTTCAGTTTAAACATTAGGGTACCTCTAAGCTTCAATCTCTTAGCAGATCACAATTCAGTGGAAATGCGTATACGTTGCAATATATGATTATTACTGGCCAGTCTTTCCATATGGTAGAAATATGTCTTTGCTAGCTTTCTTTGCACCCCTTCTCTACAAACTGCCACCTATGCTAGAGGACACATTAGTGATCCAAAATATGCTTGTGTGCTCCAAATCCCATGTATAGTTTCCAGCATTTTATTTATTTAAAAGGCTCACATGGGCCATTTCCATGTAAGGCTATTCAGATATCTTTTCTGAAATTCAGTTGGTGCAGACACTACTAAGCTAGCTTAATTAGCAGTCTTGGTGTAAGATTTCAATTTTATCTTCAGTGGTTGAAATTTTCTGTTTATTTCCTGGGAGGTAGTTAGATGTTAATTTACATCCAGCAGGACGTCATTTTCATATCTAATATACTTACCGACCCTACCAGCAACTGTAGAACCATCTCTCCAATTCCTGCTCCTGTCACCAATACAGTAGTGGCACAGCCTGGAATTAAAAAGTTGGTATGCAGATGATATAAGACTGTAGTCTATGACTGGGACATTCAAACAAAAATGGTAAAAATTAATCTCTAATATAAATGGCTTGTCAAGAATGCCACCTGTCTTGTGCTGAAGTCCAAGATAAACATTCAATGTTAATGTGCCCCTATCAAAGCAAATAAGGAAGAAAAAAGCATCAGGATTTGTGGTTTATTCAGTCTGGAAGAAAATAATTCCTTGAGAGCAATTCTGTGTCCTTTCATTTTCAATACTTAGCCAATAATGTGATAGCATCTAGCTGATCTTGGCTGATTAAAAAAAACTTTTTTAACTTTAATACAACTTCCTAGTTGTATTGCGATGGAAATAATTACAAAATACCAGGGCAATAGAGAAGACTTGGAAGTTGACAAAACATCCCAGAAGAAGTAATTTCGATTTGATTTCCAAGAAAATGTCATGGATATTTCAATGAAATCATCAGGAGCTGAATTCAACTTCAGTAATACAGTATATTACATTATATTATACAATAACATATTATATATATAATATTGTACTGTATTTAACAATATGTGTAATCAAACCTGGGCAAATAATACCGAGAATAGGAAAAATAATATATGACAAATTAGATCATTCAAAGCTGGCAGAATATCAGAAATTTATTTGCACAAAATGAGAGTTCTATGAGAGTGAGAGAGGCAGAATCCCCATTACTGACTAATGTATTATCACTCAGCAAGATCTGAACCAATGTAAACCCATCTTCCTTTCTACTATTTTGGCACAATGATGGTTCAGTGACTCTAGAAGATAGTAAGTCATTAATGGGCCCCTACTATGGGTCCTACCACCTTTCCTAAATTGGCATTCTCCAACTACTAATTTTCTCGCAAAAGAAAACATGGGGACAGTTTACCTTTGTACTGGAGGATGTCCTCAGTGTAGGCCAGCACACTGGGAAACGTGCTGCTGAGGAAGAGGCCAAGAGAGGCAGTCCCCACAAAGAGGAAAACCACACTGGTAGAAAAAATTAGGAGTAGGAAGAATGTTATAAGCACTCCAACCTGCAGTGACATTAAAAGGGAAAGTAGAGGAATCAAGACAGTCAAACTCAGCTCTGAAAGAAGCAGCAGCAATTATAAAAAATACATCACAAAGACAGTAATAAATACAGATTCTGAAATCAGCGACTAAAATTGTAAAAGGTTAGACGGAGTCTGAGGGAGGAGCCAAGAGAGGAATCAATTTGGAGTCTTTTATGTTCCCACAAGTGATCCAAGTCCACTCCCCATCTTGCATTCTGTTAACTTTTTATCTAGTGCTAAATTACTGCTAACCATTAGTTGACTTTGTGTATGGCTTGTCCTATAAATCTTAACTGGAGCTTAATATATAGTTCTGGTTCTTCGTGTCTGACAAAAATGTTCCAAGAATCTTTACTTGACACCATTTCAGATTCTGCAGGAAATTTACAAAAGAGAGAGAGATGGGATGCCCGATTGACCAACATGCCCTTTCATTGCTCTCCTACTTCAGCTTTGTACTTTGATACCTGCAGCAAAGAACCAGAGACCTACTGAAGTCAACATTTCGAGTGGTTGCTGCTATTTTCCTCCAGGGTTTTGCTACTGCATTGTTTGTAGTATAATTTTCTTAACATGTACTGTATGTGGTTAATGTGCCATTGTTTTGTTTTTACTTAATTTAGTTCAGAATGGTATTTTTCAGAGTTTAGGAAAGAATAGGGAGCTTGTCATACAGAAAGAAAGGTAGAATAAAAATGTATCCATACACTGCAACCTCCCTCTATTAGAGACATCCTTTATTCTTCCACAAATAATGGACCATTTGTTGAATGGATCTGAATTATCAGAATCATAATTAGCGACTGCTTTGTAGTTGTACTTTGTCTTAATCTACATTGTATATGACATTGAATTAGAGCAAGAAATGTGTTTGTTTGGTTTTATTTTGTCTAAAACACCAATATTTTTAGGAAAAAAAAAATAATACTATTAATTACAGCATTTTATTTTTTAAAAGAATTGGCATAACAACTCCAGAAAAACATCTGGAATTGAAAATATATATTTTCAAAAAGATTGCTTTGTTGTATAAATCCTAAGCTTTCACATAAGAATTGTGGTTCATATGAATCCCTGAAGGGAAAGTATATTAATCTGTCTGTCCCCAGCACTCCCAAACATGATGCCCTCCAGATCTATTGAGATACATCCTACTTTTGTATCGTGACAATTAACACAAAAAATTCACAGAGTTTGTTATTTGCTCGGTGAATAAGATTTGGCCATACCACATTGATGAAAACCATGGTTGCTGGCTTCATTCTGTAGGAGACAGGGATAGAAATGAGTCTGCCCAGTGTGATGAACCCCCAGAAGAGACTGGGCAGATAGCCAGCCCTCTTGTGTCCCACTGAGAGTGGTTCCTCTACTGCGTAGCTGTATACAAAGCCAGAGTATTCACCCTGAAGAGATGAAAACATGCTTCATTATATTTGCACTCTTTCTGTATTAAGCAATGACCATAGCATTCATATTTTATTCATTCAGATGATTTTTTAATAATATATAATTATAGTTCTCTAGACAATTGGATAAAAACAGTTAAAATAATGGTGTTGTACTATCTGGCACAATTTAAATCAAAAGATAGAATTTAAAAAGTCATTTGTAAATCTTTTGCACATTTTTTTTTAATTCCCAGAATCACTTAATTTGTGAAAATGACTTGTAAGAATAAGGTATTAGATGCAGGCAACAAAATAAAAGGAGGGGAGAAATACATTTACAAAAATGTAAGTAGCTAGGTAAAAAATGTTCTGTCCTTGCTTAGAGTCAAATAATTTTACCAACAGAGCAACAATCAACAATCAGCAAACTTGGGAAAGAAAAAAAAGGAAACACTACATGTTTATGATTGAAAACTATCCTTTGATTTTGGAACATATGAACATTTCAGGCCAGCTGCAGAGATCGCACCTGAAACAAAATTAGATTGTTTACATGGTAGTTGCTTAGCAACTTTGTTAGTCTCCCTCAATCTTGCATTCTCCAACTCAGCAAACCCCAATCTCTGAAGCAGCTTGATTAGACCTGGGAAAGCTACTCTTGTAGGACAGATGTGGGCCTGATGTTTTCTTTGTCACTTGCCCTTACCAGGATCCCATCTGTCATAAAAAGGAGAAGAGCTCCAGTCACATGGACACCAAAGTAAGAGCAAGGAAGTCCTCTGAAATTCTTGCTTTGGCAGCACCCAAAGAGGTCATCATGCCCTGGGGAGAGAAAACAATGCCATGTAAATGTATTGATTAAACTGCTAGTACTGTATAACCAGCCACTTTCTAAACATGAGTTTAGCATAATTCACATTGGGGAGCTGAACAACAACTCTCATTTGGATAAGCTTATATTTAGTTTATATATTTATAATTTTGATTTCTTTGGGCACCATTCCAAATAATTCTGGTTGTCCATTCCTAGTATATTAAAAGAAGAAGAAGAAGGGCAATAATTTCTGTGTCCCATAGTTTGTTGGTTTCAAAGCATAATGTTGGTGTTAAAGGAATGTATGATATTATTCTTCCCTCACCAATCTCGGCTATAAATCTGTAATTATTACAGAGAAAACAGTAACCAATGTTATATAAAGTTAATACAAAAAAGATATAAATTTTAAAATGAAAAGATTCCTTATCTACAAAAGATGTCCAGGTGTGTTAGACCAGATTGCCAAGGTTGGAGACCCCTGTGTTAGACCACAATACTAATGCTTCCTAGTCAAATTAGTCAATAGATTGTGATATGTACTCTAAGATCTGAAAGGTACCAGCAAGAGAAAGGTAGAACAATGCTATATTGCAGGTTAATTCTGCTGACTGCCAGCAGCCTGATTCTCACCAGGCTCAAGGTTGACTCAGCCTTCCATCCTTCCAAGGTGGGTAAAATGAGGACCCATATTGTTGGGGGCAATATGTTGACTCTGTAAACCACTTAGAGAGGGCTGTAAAAGCACTGTGAAGTGGTCTACGTGCTATTGCTATAATATAAATGAGTTCCCTAGCTGAGATATGGATAAACGTTTTGCACTGAAGGTTCACTGGTAAATGCTCGCAACCTTATGCCAGCAGTGGATGGTGTCTCCCATTTTTCTCCTGTCTCATGCACTCAAATGCGCCTTCCTTTGTTTCTAGGGGGAAAAAACCTGTTATTTTTTAAAAAAGCTGAAACCAATGAGCAGCTCTTTTTTCATCCATCTGGATATAGTGCAAGGGATGCTTTTCTTGGAGCTGGATCTTTCCTCCTCAATTCTAATATTCCACCACTCATGCAAATTATACCTTTTGCTAGAGTTGAAGAAAGCCACTCATTGGGAAAGGTGCAACTCTCAGGGAGAGGAAGCAATGGTGAGAAACAGTTAAGGAGTCTATATGCTACCAATCCTTCATTTAATCCCCAAGAGTTTCAGATCCTATGTATTCTCATTAAAGAGCAACTATGGATGTGGAGCAATAGATCTGAATGAAACAAAAGGTATAATCAATAAGTGACAAAATAATTTGTGAAATCAATTCAGGAGTATTGCAGTTCTGTTGGAAACCTTCCAAGAAGCAGTGATTCAGTTGGTAGCTGTTTGTTTGATCCAACAAGACTCTTATTATTTTTCATTGCTTTTAAAAGTTGCCTTGCACTCATGGTTTGTGCTTTACAGGTTAATGTCACCGTTTCTTCATTTGTCATATGCACCTAAGGCATATTGACAGGTATTGCAGTTAGCTGCATGGCTTAATGAGGTTTACTTAACGCCACCATAAAATGTGAACACATGCTCCTAAAGTTCATAAGGTGCAAGCTGACAGATGTTGCTGTGAAACTATCAACTAAATAAAGCAACACAGCTTTATAATACATACAGAAAATTGCTTCCTATTAAAAGAAACCTTCTAGGCATGTATTGATTGCTTTTCATCTTCACACTACACACTGTGAAATAATTGCCTTGTTTATTAATGAGAATTAATGAGACTTATTGCAGCATAGGGATAGAGTTATTTTTGCCCAGTTAAAAGTGGCTTCTTTATAAGGGGACCAAAGTGAATATGGAGCCACCTTTTCAACTAACAAGAGTTTTTTATGGACAAATACAAACGACTGTTCTAAATGCAGTCCACAAGACAATCTATTGCAAAAAAACTATGAACTACACCGGAGAACCTGCCCTGGGAATTCATAATCTGCTGAGCATAATATTAACAGATACTAAAGACAAACATCATATTCTTGTATTAATGGACCAACCAGTTTGGATTGCTTTGACTTCCACTTGATACGTATTACAATTCTGGAAATCAGCCTATAGGACTATACAGAGGACTAGTAAGAGAGAATTATGTAATCTGCAACTCAGAACACTTTTGCTAGAGTTTTTTTTTTTTTTTTGAAATCTCTATCATAAACAACCTTCAGTAATTCTGATGTCTAGGTCCATTTTAGAAGAAGAATAAAGACCATTTTGGAATTTGAGGTATTTGTTGAAAATTAACATCAGCATCTTAATATGGAGGGTTTTTTTCTTTGGAAATCAGCTTACTCCCACAATAAAACAAAGATTCCCACATTAAGAGAAAGGCTATCTTTATATAACATATTCACTTATGCTTAATATAATCTATTCAATTAATCCAATTTTATGGTTTGCACAACTCACTGAAGAAGACATAACACAAGCTGTGTCTGAACATCATCTTAAGCTACAGTATGGGTAATTAATTTGTTTCCATGTATTGTGTGAACAAAGCTATTATATGATTGGTTCAGTTTTGGCTGATTCTACTGCAGGAACTGTAGCCAATTCAGGCTGATACAATAAACCATGACTTAATAATCTTGGTTTAATGTTAGGTATAAGCCCCAGGCCTTCATAGGACAGCACATTATCCTCTCTTGGTTTTGCTGAGATAATGGAAGCAAAGTAGACCCAAACTGGAATAATCTATCTCACCTATTTCTACTTGGATTTTTGATGAGGAAGTAGAAGAGTCATCTTTGTCAGTTATCCGTGTTTCCATTGCCAATTCGTCTGCAGGTAACAGTGGGGGACTTCCAGTGGGGCAACACGGCACAAGCCTTTCCTTATACAGTAAAAAGAATACTGCAATGGGGACAGGCAGCTAGAAAGCAATAGAAAAGAGAAAGGACAGTTAGCCAAGTAGACCTACGTTGTACTACATCCACTGTATAGGTTGTATGCTAGTTCTTCCACTGAAAGAGGCTGATCTGGACATTCTTTGATGTTACTTGTGTGCATAGCATCATCTTTTCCCAACATATACTAAGAGGAAGGGCACAGGTAACATGATTACATATCGACAATTATAGCCTTCCTGCTTTTAAATCAATGTGTTGGAACAAAACATTTTGCAACTGCAGGTTCTACTGGCAAGAATATTTTAAAAGTTGCCTTTACGAAGTTTCTTTTGCTACATTTTTATAAAGGGTTAAAAACGGAACAGGTTCCACTGGATTAGAACATATAGTGTAAGACAGCAACACATTTTTTAAAATTTATTTAATTCAATTTGGATGTTGCCCAATTCCAAGTAACTTGGCGCAGCTAACAACATTGGCGCAAAACACAAAAATAATTACAACCCCCCAGTGGTTGTACCAGTTCTGTGGGCTTGTTAGACATGGCATGGCTTGTTGAGTGTGGCTTGTTGGGCATGGCAGGGGAAGGATATTGTAAAATCTCCATTCCCTCCCCACTCCTGGGGGACGGTTACTGCAAACTCCCATTCCCTCCTCACCCCACTAACCTGCTTTCCAGCTCTGTTCTCCTGTTCAGGGCAACAAAAGAAGAGCCCTGATCAGCTGGGACTCAGGAGGCAGAGAATAGATGGGGCAGTGCCAGTCAGAGGTGGTATTTGCTGGTTCTTTGAACTACTCAAAATTTCTGGTACTCCAGAACTGGTCAGAACCTGCTGAATACCACCTCTGCAACCCTCTTCCACTGCTACTCCAAGATAGCTACCTAATTACAAAGCAGATATAAAACATCACAAAGAGGGTAATTCCATCTACCCTATCTGAAGCCCTGAGTAAATTGTCTGGTCTTTAAGAATGTCATCAGGGTAGGGACCATACTGATCTCAGGAGGGAACTCATTCCAGAAGATATACTTTCTCATTGCCAAAAGATGACATTATTTAATCAAGGAGACCTGAAGCATGTCCACTTGGTTAGCTCTTTCCAGCTAGGCAGACAACAAGGTAATTCCCTGGATAGCCAGGCTCCATGCCATGCAAGGTTTATAGGTTACAACAGACATCTTGAATCACACTTGGAAGCATACTGGCAACCATTATAGCCTGCAAAGCAGAGGTGTCACATAGGTATACTAAGACATGTCCATCACAGCCTGAGCTGCTGCATCCTGGACCAATTGAAGGTTCTGAATAGTATTCAAGAGCAACCCCATATAGAATGTGTAGCGATAGTCAAACCATGAAGTGACGGAGTGTAACTGGCTGGAGGGATGACCGATCCAGGAAAGGGTGAACTGGTTCATGAAATGGAGCTGTGCAAAGGCCCCCTCCTGGTCTTCCACATCTATGGCATAAGATGGGCATATATGTAGTGCATAAAAATATACCTGAGCTTCAGCTGATCAATAGAGGAGATGCATTACAGCCATTATGAGTAGCACATTTGGCTCTCCAAATGACAAGCTGTAAAACTCAACCCAGATATAATATTTGACATGTTTTTTTTTTAAAAAAAACCTTCTCAGTCAGATAGGTTCTTTTTTTCACTTAAATTACATCATGCCTTTTGAACTAAATGTACTTCTCTGCTAACTGAAGAAATAACATGCTGTTTCTCACTCTGCCAGCAGGTGACAGGCCAGGACCACAGATGCTAGCAATTCTGGTACCTGCAATGAAAATAGCTTTGCATTCTACATTAACACTGAGGCTGGTATTTAATGACTGCAACTAAATTGTGCATTCCATCTGGACAGGCATTATCAAAAGATTAGACATGGATCCCAGAAAGTTCCTGAGAACACTTCATCACTAGTACTTTTCATTCATTGCATTCAGATATATAAAAACAGCTTCCCTTTGTGGCTTTTGCCACAATATAAAATGGTTCTGTTAAATGCACACAGTTTTTGCTAAGCCTAGTGAAATATTATGCACAATGGCAGAGTAGAAGCTGTATCTGAAAGTAATTAATGTTAATTGAAGCTATCTTTTTCCTGTCCCATCTGATGATGGTGACTGCTAGAACATTCATAATTAATGAGTGATTGCTCTAAGGTTTTTTTTTCTGTCTGTGACTTAAGAGAGCTGTAAATCCACATTTCCTGATTTTTGTTGGCTCACAGAGTTATTTCAAGGTATGGAGCACTCTCTCCCTGCCTGCTCCCTTCTCAACTGAATTCATTTAAGAGGTCTCTATTGTTCATAGAACAATAGAAACAAGAACAGCTAGTTCAGCCCCATGGAAGAAAAACATTTTCCTTTAATAGTTAGAATCTTTCCGGAGGTCAGGACCAGTTTGTGTTAATGGCAAATTTGCTATGAAAGTAAGAACAGCAAAAACAGATGCATATTTCACAGATCATTTGAACAATGTCAAGCCATAAAATATTGGGCAAACACTCTATGTTACGTGTTGAGCTATTCCTCTATGAGTGGAATAACAGTCCCCTTGCAGATGGATGCAAGGATGAATGGGAGCAGTGGTTCAGTGTATGTGAGACTTACAAAACTGAGGAAGGCTAGTCCATGTAGCTATTATCTTGGCTGCAAGTTTGAAGGAGCTTGCCAAACAAGATCAACATAGCATATAAAATAATTTAGAGCAAGTTCCAGATAGCAACTATCTGAATCATGTATTATATACAAGAACTCATAGCAATCCAAAATCAAATAACTGAAATGGTGTTAATGGCTGTCCCATATTACATATTCCCCTCCATTGGTAAAATCAGGCAAATTGTCTTGGTAAAGTGCAGTATTTTGCTAAGTGGGTTCAAAGCTGGGTCCTTTTCAAGAAGAAATAGCTCACAGGGACAAAGAATCAGATGTTTGCAATAGTTTTTCTTCAAACATGTTAAGTAAATAGCACTGACTTCAGATACTGACGTCACCACCAAACTTACCCTGTCCTCAAATCCACAATTGCTTTTCCTTTCTGATGGACTGATGTGAAGAGATATTTATCTTCATTGCTGCCATCATAATTCATGTCATAAGTTTCCATTGAATTGGAAAGAACAAGAACTGTCCATCTTTTCAGTCTGAAGCAGTACTACTAGAAGTTATGGGACTGACATATTTTATAAATTATAAATTGTTGGAGCTGCCAGTTTAAGGAAGCCTTTCTCTAATCTCTGATTCTGTTTTACTTGTTTCTAATCTTCTTTTGCAGATCAATTACCTGGACTGCAACATTTACAATAATATTCCAACATTACATAAAACTATTGTGGGAAGGATACATATAGTCCTTGCTTAATGACCAGTTGCTTAACGAGTGTTCAAAGTTACAATGAAGCGCCTCAGAATTACTTACAACCCATTTTTGAAGTTCCAATGGCAATACAAACCCTGTAGCCATGTGTGATCACATTTTAGGCACTTGGCGATCAGCTCTCATTTGCAGTCATTTCTATCATCTCCCAGTCACATAACCATAATTTTTGGCAGTTTTTGCTAGTTTCCATTGTTTACCTCTGATTTCTGGCAAAAAACACCAATTAGAAAAAAAGGATTTTGTTTAATGTGCGCGTTTTCTTAATGGCCGCAGCATTCACTTATTGACTGTGGCATTTGCTTATTGACTGCTGGAAAAACAGTTGTAAAATTGGGCATGGTCACATGGAAACCATCATGACTTATGAGCATAATTCCTGGCTCACTTATAGTCGTAAGTTGAGGACCATTTGTACAGATATTAAGGGTCTATACTGTAAATTGAAAATGAATAAATAAACCCATAGGAAGGAATTGCAATAAGAAATTGTTTGTGGTGTTCCCATTTCTTTCTTTCCAAGGTTTGGTTTTTCATTAAAGTGACTATGAAAACAATATCTGGTTTATTTCCTTATTATCCCACCCCCATGCTGGAAACATCTGAAAATAGTGATATTAAGATATTTTTATCCACCATACATCCAGGAACAATATATTCCTGTTCCTTTTCTCTGATTGTTTTCTAATAGCATACCTTTGGTGTCTGCTTATTTACAATCTATGAGGTCAAACTATGAAGACCAAATGCTGAACTCAGTAGGGCTCTGGGCTCTGCAGCAAAACTCTTCTTATGTAGGAGAGAGAGAAAATAGCCTGAGGTCAATCAGACTCTCCTGAAACAAGAGACTGGAAGATTGATAGGCCTTTTTTAACACTCTCTGCCAGGGGTTTCCAACCTTGGCAACTTTAAGCCTGGCGGACTTCAACTCCCAGAATTCCCCAGTCAGCTGGTTGGGGAATTCTGGGAGTTGAAGTCCACCAGGCTTAAAGTTGCCAAGATTGGAGACCCCTGCTCTATGCCACACAAAAAAACTCCTTATTTAAGTAAAGTAAGTATATTTTTCAACTTTAACATGATACATCCCCATTGAACAGCTCCCAGAGACATTGAGAGACATTTGCTGCACATTGCAAGTGAAAAGACACAATTGCTTCAAAAACGTAGATGCTGCCTTAGTCATCGTTACAAATTGCTTTTGAAAGGTAGCCTTAGAGTAGGGGTCCCCAACCACCGGGCCCCGGACTGGTACTGGTTGGGGGATCATTTTCTACCAGGCCACCAGTTTGCTGGGTGCCGCCATCTTGTTTCGATGAGAAAGTGCTTCTGAGTGAGCTTTTCTGGTTGGAAAGCGTTGTTTGGGTCCTGAAGGAATCTTCGCGCTTTAGTTTCATCGAAGGGTGGGGGGGCAGTTCAAATGAAGAGCCATCCCGATGGCGGAGGAGATTAAGAAAGCACAAAAAAGGTACAAAGAAGGAGTTGAAGGCAGCGGGGAGAAGCGGGGGACGGCTGGCTGACCAGTCACTTGGCTCGCCTTGCCTTGTCATGCGTGCTGATGCCGGTACTGGGTCGCGGATCATTTTGTGATGCCGGTACCCGGCCGTGGCACAAAAAAGGTTGGGGGCCACTG